GACATATCGCTGAGCCACTGGGGGGGGGGCTCAATATGTTTAATTCACATTACCAGGTTTTTAGTTTTAATAGGGTTAAGTCACATTACCAGGTTTTCAGTTTTAATATGTTTAAATCACATTACGAGGCATTTAGTTTCAATAACTTTAATTCACATTACTAGGTCTCCAGCTTCAGTGTCCTTAAATCACATTATCAAACATCCAGCTTCAATGGAAACAAAACATATTAACTTTTATCCAGTTTCAATGCATTTAATGTTCATTACCCAGGTACCCAGCTTCAATGCAATCATAACGTTACAATTACTATATCTTCAGTTTTAACACATTTAAAAATTCATTACCAGGTACCCAGCTTCAATGCAATTATAACACGTTACAATTACCATGTCTTCAGTTTTAACACATTTAAAACTCATTACCAGCTACCCAGCTTCAATGCAATTATAACACGTTACAATTAACATGTCTTCAATTTTAACACATTTAAAACTCATTACCAGGTACCCAGCTTCAATGCAATTATAACACGTTACAATTACCATGTCTTCAGTTTTAACACATTTAAAACTCATTACCAGGTACCCAGCTTCAATGCAATTATAACACGTTACAATTACCATGTCTTCAGTTTTAACACATTTAAAACTCATTACCAGGTACCCAGCTTTAATGCATTTAACGCACATACCAGCTTTCAGTTTTAATTTTTTTAAAGCAGGTATTCATTTTCAATACATTCAAAATACACTAGTTGGCGTTCAGTTTAACACATTTAAAATACATTATGATGTCTTCGGTTTTAACACACTTAAAATACATTATTTGGTAATCAGTTTCAATGCATTTAATGTACATTACCCAGGTCTTAAGCTTAAATACATTTATTGCACACTTTCGTATTCAGATTCAACACATTTATTGCACACTTTCGTATTCAGATTCAACACATTTAAAGCAAATTACTATTAATGTTCCATGCATTTAAAGCACGTTACCAGGTTTAAGTCATATGTAGTTCCAATTATAGGTGGGAACCTGAATAAGATTAGCAAGCAAAAAAGAAAAGAAGAAACAAAGCAGGAAGTTTGCTCGCGTTTCAGAAATAACTTTAGTTTTAATAGAGAGATATAAACTGATTAAGTAACTTAACTACTGAATTATAAGCTAAAACCCAATTAATCAAATATGTGAACAAATTTAGCAAATAATCAAAAATTAGCCATTAGCCATTACAAACTTAGGATAACATCCAATATTATTGATCTAACAGAGGAGAGTTATGTAATTCGGAACTGTAGTTCTCAGCTGCATGGTTACAATTTGAAATATTTTTGAGCAATATGTTACATTTTAAAAGGGCAAAAAAGCGTGGATATAAACAAAACCTGCATCATAATTTACAGATATTTATGTGCATACTTATAGCCCTTTCTCTATTTAAGAACAACAAAAACTGATAAATTCCATTTGGTTAATACAAGTTATGATTGTTTCAGAATTGCTACCCAGCTTTTTAGCCTCTGAGAGATACTTAAAGTGCCAAAACCTCAGCGAATTTATGTGCTTGTTGAGTAAGCGCAATCGCTTAGGTGACTTAAAAACGTTCAATTGAAGAAATGTTGGCATAAACCAATTTGTTAGATTTAACACAGGCATCTAAATTCTGTAGTGAAATTTTATTAATTTACAGTTTTCTTTATTTCTTCATGTTTTTTTAAGTACTGTTGATTATTTGATATTTTTATGGTCTCTAAGCGTTTGGTGTAACTTAAATAAGTATATAATGTCAATTAATGCTGCCCTTGCATTTGTGAGCTGTGGCCAGTGGGGGAAGTATGTCCCCGTATCCCTGGCAATTGCGGGGCCGAGCCAAAAGGGGGCCCAAATCGTAAGTACAATTACAGATAAATAAATGTAGGGGGGCCCACTTACTTTTTATGCGGGGGAGGATCTTTTCTAGTTACACCACTGGCTGTGACTTTACATATAGAATTATATTAACAGCTTTGTACAATCATCAATAACTTCTCATAACGAACTAATATGACAGTAATTTTGTATAACAGTGATTTTGTACAATAGTGTATTTTTATCTTATCAATTGTGGTGAGTTAAATCAGATTCACTAAAACAAATATAGATGTGTCTGTCTGTGTGTGTGCGCGCGTAATTTTTTGTATGGTGAATGAAAACTGTCTGACGGTGTACATAGTTATTTTGTTTTGGGATTATTGGCCGAAAAGGGGGATAAAAATACCATGAAATAGGACACATTTCTACTTTTTATAGACTTTGGCTTCGAATGTAAAAATATATGTACTTAGTCTGATAAATATGTCAATTACTACTTTTCATACAGCATGGTATGCAATTAGCATCTAATGAGGTCATTAGGGATTTGATAACAAAAGAAAGAAAGACGAGGAACATTATCTAACATTGTCCATTATGCAAATTTTGCTTTCTCAACGGGTATCCTCAGCTAGTTGTTGCCTCCAGTGGTAGATCGGTATGTCTGCGGACTTACAACGCTAGAATCCGGGTTTCGACACCCGTGGTGGGCAGAGCACAGATAGCCCATTTTGTAACTTTGTGCTTAATTACTAACAAACAAACAAACAAACAGCTAGTTGTTATAAATTCTCATTTATCTTCGTTTATAGATTATTTCGATTCGTTTAAAGTTTTCAACTTTAATAAATGTATACTTTCCTAATACAATTCTGATATTCTAACAATGATAAAAATCATTATGTAGTAGTCAGTACTATCATGATTTAGTACATGGTAATTCGGGACTTTCATAGGCCACAATAATACAATGCTGCAAATGTCCAATGACGTGTGGCTCACCCTGATACAATAAGTAGTTGAAATGGTTTCCTATTTGTTGAAGTTAGGTTACCAGGTTTATTATGTAGTGTGTCTCAGGCTTACGACAATTCTGTAATAGCCCAAGACTATCGTAATGATATATGTAGTTGCCCAAGTTGTTACCATCTGGAACTTAATAGTCCAGAACTACCACGAATCAGTACGTAGTGGTCATGAAATATGGATAGTAACTGTGTTGCGAGACCACCATGTTTCAATATATATTAATCTCAAACTATGATAAACCAATATGTTGTGGCCCAAAACTTTACTAATTTGATTTATAGTCGTCTAAGACTACCAAGATTCAACAAATAGCAATCATAGTTTACTAAGGACAAATATCTAATGATACAGGACTGCTACTCATAATTAAAAACTATGTTTATTATTTATGTAATGATTCAGGACTAATATGATGTGATTTAAGTGACCCAAGCATACATAATCTTACATGCAGTGACCCACACTATATATGATCAAGTATGCAGAAGTGAGAGCTAACATGATCCTATATACAGTGATTCGGGACTATCCTTATCAAGTATGCAGAAGTGAAAGCTAACATGATCATATATACAGTGATTTAGGAATATCCTTATCAAGTATGCAGAAGTGGAAGCTAACATGATCCTATATACAGTGATTCAGGAATATCCTTATCAAGTATGCAGAAGTGAGAGCTAACATGATCCTATATACAGTGATTTAGGAATATCCTTATCAAGTATGCAGAAGTGAAAGCTGACATGATCCTATATACAGTGATTCAGAAATATCCTTATCAAGTATGCAGAAGT